TTCTCTTACCTTCCTATACAACCTGCAGACCGTGGTTGACTATTTCAAAGACAACATTACTGCCACCTACTCTGCCATTATGTTGTTTTGCCTGTGGATATTCAGCCCTGGACCACAAACCACTGTCTACTTTCTTTGCTTCTGGTCCCAGAGCATTGCTAAAGAAAATCACAATGCTGAGCTAATTCTCACCATTATAGATTTATGCTGTGTAGCTTCAGCTGAACCTTTACTGTTTCTACGCAAACCTTTTACCTATCACCTCCATTTCCCACTCCCTACAACACCATTTCCAAAACTTCACCTTCTCTCTAAATACCTCCCCAGCTCCCACTCCCATACTCTCAGAAGGTGCTATATGAGAATTGGTTGACAGAAATGAAGGTATTTAACATGTGGAAGAGAAAACATGCTAGATGGATTTGGTCCTTATTTGAAGATTGTTATTTGGTAGAGGCATTAGAATATTAGCCCAAGAGGCTAGATTTGGAAGCAATGGGTAGGAGTTTCAAAGAGATCAATTTGAGCTGGATATAAGGAGAGAATAGATTCCCTCTTACTGGAAATCTTGAAGCAAAAACTAGATGACTATTTCATGGTATTGCAGGTTTGAGGAATTAACTTTCAGAAACTGGAGAAGTGAAGTCTGCCCTCTCTGTATCTTACCATGTGGTAGTAAATGCATTCTAAATGTGACAAATCTGTCAGCATACCAGAGAAATGGCAAAGACAGCTTACACATAAAACCTACATATCTGGAACCTAATTTATTGAGAGATATTTGAAATCACCAATGACCAGGCCATGGATTGTGGGGCTAAGAACACAGTTGCTGATTTCCTCAGAGCTTCATTACGTGAAAGATATTCTTATCCAGTCTATAATGTTCCCAACTGCAGGACCAACCAAACTCTAGTGAAGTACAACGGTTACATCCAGTTGATGGGAAGCTAGCAGATTAAAAAATGCCTTCTTAGCTTTCGTCTCTCTCTGACATATGTTATTGAGTTTCACCACTTTGTGATTTTGCCTGGATGTTCTAGCATTTCATTTGGTGGAAGATACAAGGTATTGACTATTGAATCCATTCCCAAATCTATACTTTGGGATCTTCGAGTGCTGCTATTACATGAGGAGACAAAGAGCAACCAAAAAAATTAAAATACTAAAAGGAAGAGGGAAAGATCTGGTTTGACCCATGACTATCCCTGATACTTTACCTTACTATCAATCAGTTTGTCCTTACTCAGTTGTCATCCTCCTAGACCAATCTGCTGTATTCCATGAGGTCAATCACATACTCCTCCTAAATGTTCTCTATTCTCTTGACTTCCTAGTTCTCCTCCTACCTCTCTATCCTACATCCTCTCCCTTGATGATCTCATCCACTCCCACATTTCAATATCACCGCTATGGTAAAGTTTTCTTAGTCTACCTCTCTAACACTGATCCTTCACCTGAACTCCCCTAAATTCTAAATTGCCTCCTGGACATGTCCACACGAGTATGTCACATTGGTACCTTAAGTTCAACAAGTTTGAAAATTAACCCATTATCTGTCCCTCTAAACTTGTTGCTTATCCTGAGTTCTTCATCTCTGTCAATGGCTTTATTGTTCTCCCAGTCACCTATGCTTGCAATCTCAAAATACCCCAGATTCCCCTCTGTCCTGGGAGATATACCAATCAATTGCTAATCCCTATTTATTCTATTGTTGATTTTTCACACAGCTATCAAAATAATACTCCTAAGACTGGTCTGACTACATCATAGCCTTGATGAAAGATCTTCACTGACTTCCTATTTCCTCTAGAATAAAATATAAATTTCTTAGCCAAGTATTCAAGGTCTTGCACATCTAGCTTCAACCTACCTGTCCAAACTTATTTCACATTACTTTACAATAATAAGCAAAATTTTAGTTTACATATATTTTGTGAAATAATTTACAAATTTATATTTACAATTTTACAAAATTTGTATTCCAGCCAAACTGAACTACTGAATCTTCCCTAAACATTCCTTTTCCAGCTTCTATGCATTTCATAAAGTGTATCTCATGTCTAGAATGTACTGCTTCCTTGTTTTGATCTCTTTAGCTTCCTTCAAAGATTAGCTCAGATTCCATCAACTCTGTGAAACCTCCCTTGATTCCCTCAGTTACATGGCTTTCTTCTCCTCCAATTATACATCGTATGCTATCTTTCCTCTTTATTTTTGTTCACACTGTTCCCCATATCTGGAAAGCCCAAGTCTACTTGTCCTTCAAAGCCCAACTCAAAAACCATCTCTTCTGTAAAGCCTTCTCCTATTCCCCTAGCTTGAGGGGACCACTCCCTCAGCTCCTCTTATAACCCTTTGTCCTCCTATTATGGACTTATATGCTATTTGTACTATATCTGTGTCTATATGTTATCACCTTGATTATAAGCTCCTCAATGGCAAAGGCATTATCTTTTATGTTTGTATCTGTCTCAGTGCCTTATGTATAGCAGAAAATTAATGAATTAAATCAGGATAGGGACTGAATTTTTTATTTCTATGATGTAGGGAACTACTAGACAAGGAAATTCCCTATACCAAAGCAGATAGACACCTCCTCTCCAATTTATGGTTTTATAGAGTTGCCTAGAGCACTAAAAGGTTGAATGACTTGCCCAGAGTAACCCAACCAGTGTGTATCCAAAGAATGGCAAACTCAGTTCTTCCTAGCTCCAAGACTGGCTCTATATAGATTAAGCCATTCTGCTTCTCAGTGTGTGAATAAAAGGATGGATGGATGGATGGATGGATGGATGGATGGATGGATGGATGGATGACCTGAGATAATGGATAAAGAGGTTCTTTTCATCAAAAACACTGTGTAAACTGGAGCTTTTTGGTTATTAGCATCTTCTGTTCCTGTTTACCCTCTCCTCTCCTGAAATCGAGTTTTCCCAATATGAAAAAGACCCTTTTGTCTTGGAGAAGCTTTCTTGATTTGAGAGGGTTCTGTGAGTTTCATGTTGCTGGAGCAGGCAAGGAGGTAGGTTTCTACACTGGAAGTCTGGGACACAGGACTGGAAGATACAGAAGACTCGCAGTCCTACCCACCTGCTTTTCTATGCCTACCAACCAGCCCCAAAAAGGCTGAGTTAAGAATAGGCCACTCTTGGGAAATCCCTAGATGCCAAATAAAACTCTTCAAGAGGTATCTTCAAAGCATATCCTCAAATGGTTGAGTCAGGCCTAGAGACCTTATCAGTGCAACATAGATTGCTGTATACAGTATCAGAAGGCCTGTGATTTAATCCTGATCCTGTTTCTTATTACTTGTGTTTTTTCTACTGCTTGTATGATCCTGAGCAAGTCACTTAACTCTGGCGTCCTTGCCTACTCCTCAGACAAGATGCTCTATCTCCTGGCTCTAGGGACCTTCACTGGCTGACTCCCTACTCATCTCTACCTCCTGGCTTCCCTGGCTTCCTTCAAGTCCTCAGCTAAAATCCCACCTTCTGGAAGCCTTTGTAGATCCCCCTTAACCTAGTGCCTTCCCTCTGTTAATTATCTCCATGGTATCTTGTGTATAGTTAGTTTGTACATAGTTTTTTGCACATTGTCTCCCCCATTAGACTGTGAGCTCCTTGAGAGCAGGGATTGTCTTTTGCCTTTCTTTGCACACCCCAGTGATAGTGCTTAACACCATTCCTGGCACATAGCAGGTGCTATGTAACAAATTCCTCTGGTAACAAGTCCCTCCAGCTTCTACCAGCCAGAGAATATGGGTAAATGGATTAAAAGGATAGGAATAAAGGAAAAGCATCTAACTATCTGGAATTTCAGAATCCTGGGGAATGAATGAATGAAATAATGGCTATGGAACATTTTGTGACAGAAAAAGAAAACTTCCTCCAAACTATCCTCTACACTCTTACCGCTGCTTAGCCTTCAGGTTTCACCTCCGGGCTTTCCAAGGCCTTGAGTGCCTGTCTTAAGGTGCTTCAATGAAAAAGCCCTACTTTATGCTAAGAAAATACCAAGTGGTTGGAGGAAGTAGAGGATCATGGTGAATTTCCTCCTCTTTCCTCTTGCCCAGCACCAATCCTTTATTTTCCTTTAGGACAGCGCAAAATTCATCTACCCCGTGAAGCCTTCTGTGACTAATCACAGGCCACAACAAACTTTACTTCAGATTCCATCAATATTTATGTTTCTATCATATTATAACACACCGACTGAGATATTGCCTTACAATTGTTTTCTACTTGTTTCATGTTTGTTATTCTTCTAGCCTCAGCTTGAGGTCTAAGGACTTTGCCTTCTGTGCTCCCCACAGCCTCCAGCATAATGCTCAATAAATTGTTATTAAATTGAATTGAAGCAGAAGTCATCTCTGTTCCATGAGGCTGCTTCCAAGTGGGTAATGTGGTTCTTGCCCCAATATCACCTCGTTCCCAAAGAATCAAAAAGGAGATGAACAAGATGCAATAAGCCTGTGGTATCTAAGTAGCCCGGTGCAAAGAACACTGAACTTGGCTGGCAAGATCTGGGTTCAAATACTGCCTCAGACACTTAACTAGCTGCATCATTCTGGGCAAGCCACTTACCTTCTCTCTGCTTCAGTTTTCACATTGATAAAATGGGGATAATAATAACATCTACTTCCCTAGCTTAGGAGGATCAAATGATATACCATATGTAAAGTGCTTTACAAACCTTAAAGTATTACATAAATTCTAGTTATTCTTTTTAAAAATTAAATGACATGGTGGCTGCAGATCAAGGTGGAAGAGGAAACTGAGAGACAGACAAATGAGCCAAGTAAGGACCTTGGCCAGGTTTATTTATTTAAAGTTGAGATGGGGGTTTCTACTATTGTTGGCACCAAAACAAAAACAAAACTCTGCACCCCAAAACTATTTCTGACCATCACTTCCATAAGCTAGAGTGTTTAGAGGGAAATGGAAAAGGGAATGGGAAGTAGACCACCATTGTAGTTTTTCTACTGTGTCTGTCTGCAGAAGAAGCCGTCTCCACAGACAGCAAAGTCCCATTGACGGTGATAGGGACCGTGGGGAAGTCAGTCATTCTTCCCTTGAAGATCTCATCAGACAAGATTCGAACTATTGTCTGGCTTTCTCACAACTCTCTTGCCACTGTCGATGTAAACGAACAAAACTCCCACATAATAATTACTGATTCCAAGTACTATGGTCGACTGAAAATCTTCAGAGAGTCAAACTACTCTTTGCAAATCAACAATTTGACAACAGAAGATGAAAATTACTACAAAGGGCAAATAACCATAGAGAGTCAAGGCCAATCTGAAACCTTAATTCAAGAGTACTTCCTACATATTTATGGTAAGTCACAAGCTTAACTACATATGAACTTTTTCTTTTAGCTAGATTTGTAATTTCAATGGTATCAGAAAATCCTTGCAAGGAAACGCTGTATTGGTACCTGTTATATAATGTATGGTCTTAGAGAGCGGACTAGAGAGCACTGAGAGGTTAAGTGTTTTGACTAGGGTCAAAGAACCTGTATGTGTTAGAGCAGGAATCAACCCAGACTTCCCTGTGCATGAACTTTAAGACTAAAGAGAAGATTAGTCTCTTACTATTACTTTGAAATCCATGTGCTTCACTCTCCCTCACCTTCTTTGCAGAGGTGGGAGACTATGGGTATAGAACATTGCATATACTCTCACATGGTTAATGCATTGGTTAGCTGTCTTTTTTTCTCTTTCTTTTTTTAAATTTAATATAATAGAGGGCTTTCTGGGGAGTGAGAAGGATCTATTTGGAAATGAAGGTGATATAAAACAAATATATCAATGTTTTAAAAGAAAAGAAGTAAGAATAAAGAGAAGGTTCAGCATGACTTCCAACTAGGGAAGTTTATTTAGTCTCTGTCCAAGGATAAAGAAAAGGAGGAATGATGAGTGCTGAGAAGACATACAATGAAGCATATCTAGGGGGCTACGTGTGGGGGAATGGTCACCAGGCTTGTGAGGTATGGAAAGTAGGTGGAGCTCTCCTATACAAGAGAGAAGGCAAATGGGCAGTCGTCTTCAAAGGATATCACTATCATGCTATACTCTGCTCCATCAGCAAGTGTGACAGCCTGACCTCCTGGTCAAATCTTAAGGAAGGAGATGCCTTCCTGTGACTTCAGACTCAAAAATACAGCCCTCCTCCATGCTTGTAATAAGTAGTTAGAACAGTAACACACATTTGAATCATTATCTTACATACAGCAGAAACTGTTTTACCACAGGATTTATCAGGAAATAAACTAAGTTCAGATCAATAAACACAGACATTAGATTCAGAGCCCAGCTTTGCCTGGTTTAGGAGAAAATCATACAATTGCAGAGTTGGAAGGGACCACTCAGGACAACTAGTACCATCTGAAAAAGCCTAAAACAGGCTTATATAAACATCTAGGTCAGAGGTAGGGAACCTACAGCCTTAAGACCACATGTGGCCTTCTAAATCCTTAAGTGTGGCCTTTTGACTGAATCCGAATTTTACCTTGTTGAAAGTGAGTTAAAGCCTGGAAGAATTGAAGGAGAGTAGTGCATAGAAATAAGGCAGTTTAAAAGAAAGACCATTTAAGGAGAATAATGACATAAGTATAGCAATACACACACACACACAAAAATAACAATATACACTGCTGCTCTAATGATAACAAAAGAGAACGCTGAAGGGACAGGGTGGGGGGAACTGTTTAATTGTAAAGACTAATACCTAGGTAGAGAACACACAATAAACCATAACTCCTTTCTCTTAGCCTACAATAAGGGGACTATGAGAATGGAATATTGCAAAATTCTTGGAGGTGATCACTTTATCAATTTTTGTTTAACTTTTTTTCTGCTAAGAGTTGAGTTGGGAGGAGGGATTTAGCTATGTAGCACTAACCAGTACAGCATATCTAAAAATGACGGAGATAAAAAACAATAATAATAAGTGAGGTTTTGGGTTTGTGACTTTTTCTTTGGGGGGGGGGGAATTAACTGACACTAGCAGCTATCAAGCACAATTGGTCAAAATAGGTTACCAAATGGTCTGTTTCCTTGGTGGAGGGCAAAAGAAGCCCCCTCTTGGGGTATCCCAAGGTTTCTTTCTTCCCCACTCTCCCACTCCATTTTCTCCTCTTAATAGTTTCTGACTCTTCCCCAGCCCCACCCTTTCCAGCTGAGGTCGCCTTCCGTGCTGCTAGCTCTAACCATGGTTTGTGGTGCCAGCCCAAATGTAAAATTTCCCAGTGATGGCCCTCCCTAGTCTCTAAGCCTAGTCTCTGTAAAAGTCTCCACTTTCACATCAAACTATCCTCGCCTCAATCTTCCTCTTCATCCTCCTCCTGCCTTTTTTCTTCTAGTTACTCTAATCATACCTCCAGGTCCCTCTGCCAGTACCACTCCTTGGTAAGAAATGGTTTCAGCAAACTCTCAGGCCCCATGGTCATGAATTCCTAAACCTACCTTACCATTTATAGTCATTCATAGAGCCTTCACAGGCTGCAGCTTACACCAAAGGAATCAGTAAGAATACTTATGCAATGCAATGGAATTGTTTATTATAGGGAGCTAAGCTATTTTTCCTCAATTTCATGTCTTTTCTACTCACACAGAGGAACTGAGAAAACCCCAAATCACAGTAAACTTTACAGGGCCTGAGAATGGTACCTGTAATGTCATTCTGCTGTGCTCCCTGGAAAAGGAGGGGAAAAATGTGACTTACAACTGGATATCCCTGAAAGATGGAGAGGAAGACACTGCCTATGAGGGACCCAACCTCACAGTCTCCTGGAGACCTGGGGAAAGTGAACCAAACTTTATCTGCAGAGTCACAAATCCCATCAGCAGTCAGAGGTCCCAGCCAATCCCTTCTTCAGGACTCTGTACAGGTAATCCTCCCTGTCTCTCCAGGAGTCTCAGGAGAAGCCCTGCACAGCTCCAGGAAACAGACTGACCTCTTTCTCAATTCTGTCCTTCAAGAAAGTGCCTTGCATAGCAACATAGGATTTAGCTACAGAGACAATCTCAGAGATCATCCAGTTCAACCTCAAACCTCTCTCCTCTTTCTTTTTTTTCTCTCTCTGCCTCTCTCTGTCTCTGTCTGTCTCTCTCTCTCTCTCTCTCTCTCTCTCTCTCTGTCTCTCTCTCTCTCTCGTCTCTCTCTCTCTCTCTCTGTCTCTCTCTCTCTCTCTCTCTCACACACACACACACACACACACACACACACACACACACACTTCTTTCTACAGCTGAGCAAACCAAAACCCAGAGAAGTTAAATGCTTTGCCTGGGGTCATATACATGGGAAGTGGAAGATTAGGCTTTGAATTCAAGTCTCCTGACTCTAAATCTAATATTCTTTCTACTGCCCCATACTGCTTACCAGAGCTCCCAGAGCACAGAACCCAACAGAACTTCTCTTAAGACCAAAAACATGCCAGGGTTCTGTGCTTCTGCCTCTGGAACTTTCAAACTCTACCCCCAATATCCTTCCCCCAACCTCCACATACCCATATCTTTTCAGCACACAGAAATCAAAGACAAGGATCTCAGGAGAGCCAACTCTTCTCCCTGCTCTGCCCAGGGACCACCAGGTTAGCCTTCCTGAAATGTGGTTCCTACTCATCCTATTGTATCCTGCTCAGTCAAAAGGATGGCCAGATTAAGAGGGAGGAAATTCCCTGTGTCCCCAGCACCACTCATTATCTTTTCCTTTCCAAATCTTCAAGGAGCATCATCTAGGAATTATGTTATGCTGATCGTAGGAATTGTAATTGCGGTTGTGCTGTGTGTAGCCATCATGGTTGGGAGTATTTTTTGGAAGAAAAAAAGACAAGGTGAGATTTCCTTGAAAAAGAAGTTTCTGTAACCTGTATTACTAATTGGTTTCCCTAATACTCCAGGATTGCAGTGATTATATATAGACTGCCTATACATTCCTTTTCTCATTATCCCCAAATCTCTTTGCTCTGTGAAGCCCATCACTCTGATTTGGGGGCCAGTATTGGGACCTCTGTCCCCAGACATCACTCTGAATGGGTCACAGAGTAAATCCATAAGTTGACTACTCTGTTCAGATAGTTTCTGGGACACACAGTGACTTTATGTGGTAATATCCTACTGAAAATTGGAGCCCTGCACCTGGAACCATCCTCCTTTCTTTCCCTTGGACAGACTCTTCATTACATGTGAGACTTTATTGTCCAGCACAATCTGTCCCACCTTTCCACCCCTGCCTTCCTCCCCACCCTCTTCAGGAGATACTGGAATGGGAAAAGGAGGGGTAATGGCTTCTTTCTCCATTACCATCATCTTTTTCAGTCTCTGGGTTTATCTTTTTAGGTTTCATCCAATACTCTCCCAACAATGTTCAGCAACAGGGTAAGTTTCCAGATTCTGAGTTACCTGAATTAACACTGTTAGGAGGAACTACTGGATTGCTGCACAGTGGAGAAAGGGAATGAAAGAGGCAGAAGGAGGCACTTTGTAGGTAGGGGGACATGAGATCATGGTACCAAGGGCCCTATTAGACAGTGTTACTGATGGCAGGGGACAGAGTTTTGCTGTTAAGAAGACCTACTTTTAAGTCCTTCCTCTAACACTTATTAGTCATGTGATCAAGGGCAACTAATTTAACTTCTTGGTGTCTTCAGACAACTAAGGGTATAAAATACAGTCCAATTGCTGATCTGCTATGGTACAGAGATTCCACCCTGGGAGTTCCATCCAAGTCTGGATCCCTCCCCCAAAAAATGGAATGGTCTCTCTTCAGTCACATACTCCCAAATAGGAGCAGATTTATCCTTTCTACTCTGCTAATGATGAAACTTAAGGCCTTAAGAGAAGTTCTTTCCAACTCTGCCATTCTCTGATACTGCAATATCTTTAATTGGTCATTAAAATGTCATTAGTTGGCCAATGATCACTGATGGCATAGCCAACCCATAATAGGAATGCTGGGGGATGCTTCTAGAGTCCTTTTCTTCTTCCATCCCTCCAAGGATTCAGCACAGGAAGAAGGTCCAGGATATCAGTACTCTGAGAACACATGGTCCTTGCATTTCTGAAGCAGCATGGAATGCATGGTACCAAACCTTGGGCTGCTGTATAGTGACTCCATCCCTGCCTCAGAAGTAAACTGAAGGACATAGCTGGTCCAGGATCACAGCCTCTCACAAAAGGACTCACAATGCATTTCAGAGCCTCAAATAGAGGAAGAAAGCTGTCCAAAATTGGAATTGGCTGCCTCAAGAGGTGATAAATTTGCTATCGTTTAAAATCTTCAAGTATAGGCTGAGGACCATTTGTTGGAGAGGCTATAAAGGACTTTTTTTATTCAGGTATAAATAGGACTAAATGATCTGCAGTGTAGTAGATAGAGACCTGGATGTGGAGTCAGGGAGACATGGGTACAAATCCTACCTCAAACACTTACTAGTTGTTTGACCCTGGGAAAATCAACCTCTCTGTGCCTTAGTTATCTCATCTGTAAAATGAGGGGGGTTGGCCTTGATGGACCATAAGGTCCCTTTCAGCTCAAAATCTATGATCTTGTGACCTCTGAAGTTCCTTCCCACTCTGAGATTCAGTGAATGCACCAGCTCTTAGAAATATAAGGGAGAGGATAAGGGATGGAAATCTACAGGGAAATATTCTGCCTCTAATTTGAATATAGTCAGTAAGCACAGACCCTGTCTCCTAATGCTTAAAATGGAACCAAAAGAGATCCACCTGGTGTCTGCTCACCATGACCACTATCCTAGAGGACACAAGTCACACATGGAAAGTCACTTGAGGAGGATCTGGAAATGATAGTCACACAGCTCACAGGCTGACCTTGAGTCAGTTATGTAATAGTGTGGAAATCATTCTTGGTTATGTCAGGAAAAATACATCTCATGAGAACCACAGGGCCCTATTCCACTGTACTCAGAACTAGTCATTCTCGGCTCAGGGCCCCATATGTCTATGTCTAGCCTTCACAACTAAAAAGAAATGAGAACTTAAAGAGAAAAAAATGTATTTGGATTTCTGCAAGCCTTCTGACAGTCTCTCACAAAGTCCTTGAATATAAAATGGAGAAATATAGACTGGATGATAGAACATTCATGTGGTTTTGTAGTGAATTGAATGACAGTACCCTAAGAGATCAACAGATAGAAATTAAATGAGGGACGTGTGCCAAGATTCTGTCTTTGGCTATGTTCTCTTCAACATTTTTATCAATAATTTGGGTGAAGTCATAGATGGCACATTTATCAAACTTGTGTTATTATTGTTCAGTTGTTTCAGTCATGTCTGATTCTTCTTGACCCCATTTGGGGTCTTCTTGTCAAAGATACTGGAGCAGTTTGCCATTTCCTTCTCCAGCTCATCTATAGATGAGGAAACTGAGGCAAACAGGGTTAAATGAGTTACCTAGGGTCACATAGCTAGTAAATGTACGAGGTCAGATTTGAACTCAGGAAGATGAGTCCTTCTGACTCCAGGGCTGGCATTCTATCCACCATGCCCCTTGTCAGACTTACAGATGGTGTATGTAGCACCTAAAGGTTATAAAGTCCTTTCCTCACAATAGGTCTATGAGGCAAGTAGTACAAGTATCATCACCATCTGTTTCACTTATGGGGAAACTGAGGCATAGAGAAATTAAGTGACTTGCCCAGCATCATGTCAGAGCCAGGACTTGAATCCAAGTTTCTCTTGACTCTAGACCCAATGTTCTTTGGGCAGGAAGTCTTCAAGGCTGTTTAGGACATTTGGTTGGCAGGGTCAGGAAATCTCTATGTTGCTGATCCTGCCCTTTGTGTCAACAGGGGCTGCCACTGAGGGGAACACAGTATATGCACAAGTCAATCATCCATACAGGGTAAGTCCTTTCAGTGATCCAAATGACACCTCTTGTTTAGTCATTTCATTTGTGTCCCACTCTCTGTGACTACCCTATTTAGGGTTTTCTTGGCAAAGATATGGAAGAGGTTTGCCATTTCCTTCTCCAGCTCCTCCAGATGAGGAAAGTGGGGCAAACAGAGTTAAGTGATTTGTCCAGGGTCATACAGCTTGTAAGTTTCTGAGGCCAGATTTGAACTCAGGTCCTCCTAACTCTAGGGCTGTTGCTGTATACATTGCCCTGCTGCCCTATCTCTTACCAAAACCATATTACCAATCTGGCTAAGAAAAACAAAGCATTATCCAAGGGCTCCTAGACCATGCATATCAGACTACAAAGTCATATGAGACCATTGCAGCCTACCCTGACCCCTCCTCAGACTTCCCATAGAGTTTCTCATTTGTACCACACAGTTTTATACATAATAATATGCTTCCTTCTGGAATTTCCCTGACTGTTGCATAAGCACTAGTCTCTTCTCCCAACTGCAATGAGGGCAGAGATACCATCTTCTCCTTCAAGTCCATACCCTGCCACTTATTAGCTGTGTGACTTCAGGCAAGTCATTTAACCTCCTTAGGTCTCCATTTCTTCCTACAAAATGAAGAGCTTGTAGAAGTTGGCCTCTGGGGTCCCTCCAAGGCTTCTAGATAGGTGATCCTAAGATTCTATGCTCTCTGAGGTTCTTTTCAGCTTTGATATTCCATGAATCTATGGTTCTTTTGTCTCCCATAATAGCTGGCACAGTGCTAAGTACACATAACACATGTTTAATTACTCCTTCTATTCAAATTAACATTGTTGTTGTTGTTGTTGAATTGTGACTGACTCTTTGTGACCTCATTTGAGGTTTTCTTGGCAAAGATGCTGGAGTGGTTTGCCATTTCCTGTTCCAGCTCATTTTACAGATGAGAAAACTAAGGCAATCAGGGTTAAGTGACTTGCCCAGGGTCACACAGTTACTGAGTGCCTGAGTCTGCATTTGGACTCAGGTCCTCCTGACTCCAGGACCAGTGTTCCATCCACTGTTCTACCCAGCTGCCAAGCACATATTACATGCCTCGTATGTGACCAACTTCTCTATTATTGCAGGTCTTCCAGTGTATAGTGTATGTTCATTTGTTGGGGATACTAAAGAGGTGGGGGGGGGGGGGTTTATTCAAGTACAGGTTGGCTTTTTAAAAAACCTCCTTAGCAAATGTTCATCCAGCCTACTCTTGAAGAATCCAATGACAGGGAATTCACCTCTTGGGGCAAGTTGGTCCTATGCATTGACCTAGCCTAAGAATCCAAAGACAAAAAAAAAAGGTTCCAAGTTGCTTACAATCTACTCCAAATCAAATTGAATGGCTTTTGAGAGAAAACAAAAGAGTCAGGGTTTATGATCAGTCCAAAGTCAGGGGGCTATTGTCCAACTGATTTGAAGGTTTTACATAGGGAAGATAAGGAAGCTCAGAGCCAATATGAGGAAAAGAAGGAGAAAAGATATTCCTAACACTAACAGCCTACAGCCCCCACTGCAAGCAGATGGCCTTGGCCTTGCATCATGTATGCCCTAACCCCGTTCATTAAGTACTTGCAGGTGACTCCTAGTTCCCAAATATCTTTGTAACTCTTCAAAGCCAGCTTCCGATGACTTCCTGGAAGATGTGGGCACTGTCCAAGCTTCTCCTCCTCTATCCCCTTTAAAAAAGCTTGTCATTTTTCTTTCTGCGGTGCCAGTGTCTTAACTAGAAATTCTGGGTCTCCAAGTCCCTTTGTTCAACTGTGAAATAAACCGCTTTCCCCCACTTGTGAAGAAAAAGAAAGGAAACCACCAATATAGATTATTTCACATTTTTCCCCTTTCCCCAAGAAAGCAGAAATGCTTGAGTATCATAGAATCGTAGGTTTAAGGCTAGAAGGGACCTTAGAAACCATTTAATCCAACTCCTTCAATTTATAGATGAGGAAATTACGGAATTGATACCCACAACCCAAACAGTAAATGCCAACCAGAAAGTTTAGAAAGTTTAGTTCGGTAGGGATTATATGGAAATTCTGGGGCCTCAGGACATTGATTATTTTTTTGTTGCCAGTGATGTGTAAGTACTATTTTAGACGGAAGTTGAAACTAAGTAATTACAGCCCCTCTACTGTGACTTGCAGACATTTATCTTTAGGTTATGATCACCCAGGACCAGAAGTTCCTTCTAGAATCTATCAGGGACCAGGTATCTGGAATTGCAGGGAATTTTCTGGAAAGTGAAAAGCAGATATCGCCTCCAGCTAAAAAGACCTGAGGTACCCATGAAATGCTTGTGGTATATATTTAATAAATATCTGATGAATGGATGAATGAATACAATCTGCCTAAGTAAAATCGGTTCCTAGAATCATTTTAAAAATAGATTCATATTGATATATTTTTATTTTACATCGTGTAGATTGTCACCTGCATACTTTTCTCCCCTCTAAGAGACATCCCCTATAACAAAGAATTTATTTTAAGTGAAAAGAAAAGAAAAAATCTTCAGCAAGACCACTCAATACATTGGGAAAAAATCGACATATACAGTATTCCACATCAACAGGCTGCCCTCATACACACACACACACACACACACACACACACACACACACACACACACCCTTCTGTATATGAAGTGAAGGATGGGGAGTGGGGGGAATGTCTTCTCAAGTCTCTTCTTTGGAGCCCAGATTGTTCTTTATCATTTGGCAACATTCGTTTTCAAGTGTTTTGTGGTTCAGCAAGCATTTACTAAGCAATTACCACGTGCCAGGGCAGTTAGGTGGTGCAGTGGATAGAGCATAGGCTTGGAGTCAGGAAGAGTCACCTTCATGAGTTCAAATACAGCCTCAGATGCTCACTAGCTGTGTGATCTTAGGCAAGTCACTTAACCCAGTTTGCCTCAGTTCCTCATCTGTAAAAATGACCTAGAGAAGGAAATGGCTAGCATTCCTATATCTTTGCCAAGAAAAACCCCTAATGGGGTTCTGAAGAATCAGACACAACTGAATAACAGCAACAACGATATGTGCCAGGGATTGTGCTAAGTGCTGAGAATACAAAGAAAGGTAAAAATACCCCTCAGGCAGCTAATAATCTAATGGAGGGGGGCAATGTATAAATAAACACGCTTATCCAAACCACATAGAGTAGTTGGAAGGTATCCCCAGAGGGGAGAATATGGGGACTTAGGAAGAGCATGTCCTTCTGTACAGACCCTTTAGGCATTATATTACTCAACAGTGATATTTCTTCCCAATTAAGGAGCTTAAATGATGTTCACCAAGGAGCTATGTTTTCTTCAGTGTGTAAATTCCTTTCACCTAGTTTTCTGTAATTTAGTATATAAGTCTTAAAGAGATGCTCAAGGCCAAAAAAGGTTGGCCTTTCCCAAGATCACCAACTAGGAGGAGGCAGGATTTAAGCTGTTATATCAAACATCATGGCCACCACAGCTGCCTCTCTAAAATCATATTCATTTTAAAACAGATTTCACCTGGATAGAAATGTTGAACAATTGAATGATAGGGAATTCAATGCCTCTTGATCCTAGACACTGAACTAGCCTAGGAAAGAGGAAGGAATATCTAGTACTTGGAAAGGGAAAGCCCAAAAATGGATAAGTTTACTACAGCCCTTTCAGCCTCTCATCCTCCCTCATGTTCTACCTGTGCTGATTTCATGTAGTACATATCCATTCATTCATTCATTCACTCATACCAGTTATGCATTAAGGGCCTACTGGAGAAGATAAAATCCAGTCCAAACCAACAATATTAAGGACCTACTATGCCCCAAAGTACCAGCATAACAAAGGCAAAATGGAAAAAATAGCCCTTGCCTTCCAGGAGCTTACATCTTTCAGGGAGGATATACCAGGTAAACAAAGGCTTGTTAAATATACACACCTTCATTTGAGGAGGTGGATGAAAACCCTAACAAGTAGGATCCAGGATCATAGAAGATAAGGAACTAATGGGATTAAGAAATCTAATGTACTTTCCACTATACCCATACTGCCTCTCTTCCTCCCAGACAAACTCCTTGTTCTCTGCTATTCAATCCTTTTACTGACCCATTGTGGCCTATTTGTTGGAGGCATTTCATTTCCTTCTCCATTCCTAAGCCTCCAAGGGCTTACAATATTTAAAACTTAAGAAATTCTGAGCTCCATTAGATCACACAGACTAGGGTCTGGAACATGACACCTCCCATTGACTCAAACTATCCCCCACTTTCATCATACTACCCACTCTAGGATCTTGAATCTATATGGAAATGCCACTGTCACCTTATTCCTTATGACCTAAAAAGGCTTTTTTTTTCCTTTTACAGAAAAAGACCGAAAGGCCTAATATTCCAGACAAAAAGGATTCTATGACAATTTACTCTACCATCCAGTCAACTAAGGAGGTATATACTAGACTGTCTCCTTCTCTGGGTACTGTTATTCTCATATAATTTGGAGGAGGGTCAGGTAAAGAAACGTTACAGGCCATGACAGGGAGATAACATTGGTTAACGGTGTTCCTCTATCAGACAAATGAGTTCTGAATACAAATAATGGAGAAAAAGTAGAATAGAGTCAATCCACACTGCAGCTGACCTAAAAGATAGAGCAGGGTTTTCTAATCTGTCATAGTCCTTAAGGGAGAATAGCTTCTCATTTTATGTTTTGAGAAACCAGAGAATGGTTGTGGAGGAGGGATGGAGATAACTGCTCATTTTGCACCGAAATGGAAGCTATTTTAAAAATGAAGTCACTCATGTCAAGAGAGGGAATAGACAGAGTTCCCCTGAGTTTGCATCCACAGTTCCTTGCAGCTATTCATCCTTTATTTTTAAAAACAGAGGTCTTCAAGGGAAAGTTCTGGGTACAAGTGGGAAGCAAGTCAACTTGAATTTTGGGATTACTTACTCCCACTTCCAACTGTCTTCTTATAATTTCACTAGTCCATGCCTGACCTAGGGTCTCTTACACAAACTGTACAACCATTAGCAAATTACTTAATTTCTCTGAACCTTAATTCCGTCACATGAAAACTAGGCACAATAATACCTGCTTTACAAGATAAGATCAAGCACTATATAAACGTCAGTTGTTCCTGTAGAACTATTATTATCATCATTGCTAATTATTATTATTACTACTGTCATGTATCTCATTCCCAGAAGCCCTTTCTCTATCATAATCCCCCAAAGGCTTTAGGCTTCTTAGTAGCCTACGCATTTTAGTAGAGGACACTCAGAAGACGAATACATCTAATAATGGAATGTCAGGCCCATAGGAGGTGTTAAAAGAAATGCTTTGGAGCAGAGGCATTCCTCAAATAAGACCACCAAAGGTGGTTTACCTACTAATTATATTCAGTCCCATCCCTTCTTGCTATAATAGTTTACATTTATATAGCACTTTATACTTATAAAATTATTACCACAATGCTTCATCATGACATGAAGGTGACCCTTGGTTCTTCATGGTTATGCCACTGAAGCAAATTCTGCCCAAAGGATTGTAGACTGCTGAGAAGACTCACACTCATACACCATGAATATCTTCTTCAAGAGAGGAGATGGAAGGAGCCAGACATGGCAAACACAATACAACATTACAAAAGAAATTAAATCAACCATATCTTGAAAGACAAGAAGTGACTGGTTACCAATGTGGAAGTTACTTCTGGATCAGCTGTCTGCCTACAGTAGACCATCAACTTGTTAATGCAAGTGTCAGAATCACTACTAAATTGGGAGAAAGGATAGAGATGAGAAGATCATATGAAGAGAGATTAGAACAGATCCAAGCTATTGTGCCACAAAATGGGAAATGGATAGGAAAAACAAATGTAAACAAATATTATCACCATTTCCCACGTATATTTAGAACTAGAAGAGAACTTAGAGGCCATAGACACTTCCAACCCTTCATTTTACAAATGTGGAAACTGAGGTGCAGAGAGATTACATGACTTGTCCAAGAGCACCCAGATGATAAGTGACAGGCAGGATTTGAATTCAGGTCTTCTGATTCCAAAACAAGTGGTTTTTTTCCACAGTGTTTTTCTGCCTCTTGAAGCGTTATTGAGCCAGCTATGTACTAGGTGTACCTTCTTCCACTATCTAAGAAGAAAAAAAAATAACCTTAAGGACTATGGCTTTCTTTAACAACAAAGGTCTCCTGAAGTATACACTGCCTTGTGTCCTTCAATTATTAAGTCCTTCTACTACCAGCACATGTGTGTGCGCATGCATGCGCACACACACACAAGTATATGTGTTTATAGGGAATTCTTTATGGCCTCTATGACTATATGATACCCACCCATGATTCTAGGGATACCCTTTAGAGGTTGAGAGATCTTTTTCCAATGCCATTGGCTTGGGTCCCCATTCCCATTGTGTTCCCCCCCATGTTGTTCAGTGACTAGTGCTCCAGTTCCATTTAACCAAAAAAATATTAATTAGTTTTTATAAACAATCATTTTCTTCAAGATAGAGTCAAGAGCAGAAGTACAAAAATTCTTCCCAAACACCACCAGAGGAACACACTTCCTATAGCACCCTGGTATCTGGGGACAGTAGGCTTAGACAGTGAAGTTTTACATAATTTTAGTTCCACCAAGTTCACATTACCATCATTGCTGGCCTATTGTTGAAAGGATTTTCATTGGACAAGATGGTCTCTGAGGTGCAGCTAGGTGGCACAGTGGATAGAGCAGGAGCCCTGAAATCAGGAGGCCCTGAGTTCAAATCTGGCTAGCTGCGTGACCCTGGGCAAGTCACTTAACCCCAATTGCCTAGGGGAAAAAAAAAAAAGAAATGGTCTCTGAGCTCTCTTCCAACACCAAGAATTTATGATTCTGTCATGCTGAAAACTGGATGATTTGGAATCAGAGTATACTCTTATATAAACTCATCTGCAGAAAAATATGAAAAGAATGATAGAAGCTTTTAGACAGCATCATTTCATAAAATAGCAAAGAGTAGTGACAGAAAAATCAAATCCATAGAAATTTTGGTATTGGGTACATTTAGTCAGATCTTCTCAAGACAACTTAAAGATAGAACTTCAACTAATTTGAAGATTTGAAAAATGGAATGTATCTGTCAGGATTTCTATGACAGATTATTTTCATCATCAATAATGGCGTATGAATTATATTAGAAAACCACATAGCCTTCTTAATGAGATCCACAAGTAGTCAAAAGAGTTTGATCTTATAATCCATATAGCTAAAAGCAAATGAATGAAGGCTGTCTATTGTCCAGGCTATTGTATGCAATTTAATTGACCTGTTTAATTAGTCTAAAATTCTATGTACACACTTGTAAACTAAACAGGTCAATTCAACTGTATATTAAGGTGCATATTCAATTCTGGGTATTGCTTTATGTGTGTACATGTAAACACACACACACACACACACACACACATACAGAAAGCAATACCTAGAATTGAATAGGAGGAAGAAAGCAAGAGGAACTGAATTTGGGAAATTGTGCAAAGCTTTCAATAAGGTGTTTCCTGATGCAACAACTTATCTTTGTAAGATCTGTATTCTTACGGTAATGTTAGATGACTGTTAATCAAATGTCACTGTTAATCAAACCCCCGGACCTAATCGTAGAAAAGGGGACAACCACAAGTTTTAAATTAACTGTAAAAATTTAGCTAAGTGCCAAGTAAACCCTTTATGAGATATTAATTGGTCTCTTAATGAATCAAAAAGGAAGCAATACAATAGGATGGAGAAAAACCAAGGGAGCATCCACAAACTTGGGAATGACTGAACAAAACATGGCACAAAAATGTAATGCAATAGTATCCAGCAGTAAGAAATGATGAAAGTGGTGGCTTCCAGAAAAACCTTAGAAGACTTGTATGAAATGACAAAGAGCAAAATAAGCAGAACCAAGAGAGTAATTTATACAATAATAACATTGTAAAGAAAAACAATTTTGAAAGACTTATGAATTCTGATAAATGCAATAATGACTAACCGCGATTAAAAAAAAGACTAAAGACTGAAAAGGCTACCCACGTCCTGAGAGAGAGCTGATGTCCCCACAGTATAGAATCAGACATACATTTTTGTTGTGGCAAAGTGTGAATTTGTTTTGTGTGACTATATGCTTCTTTGTTACAAGGATTGTGTTTTTCCCTTTATATTTGGTGGGTGGCAGAGACTTAGGGGAGAGAGGAGCTGGTCATAGTATTGACATACAAAAAAAAGGGAAAAAAAACAAAAGAAGGGAATAGAAGTTCAGAGGGAAACAAAGACTAGCAGGACATCTTTAAAGACATGTTAATTTTATTACAAATATTTCTAATCAAGCCAGATGTAATGAAGATTCACTGTTTCACACATAATCCTTTTTTCTGTTTTATTTCATATATGGGAATGTATTCTCTCTTAGTGTATGTCTGCATGTGCATCCATTAAATTCAGAATGAACAATTTAAAATAAAATTAAAGGTCATGCTTCAGGAAGATTTTAAAAGTCAGTTCACTGAGTCCAGAAGAATTTCTGAAGAGGACTAGCTCCTAATAGGTCAAGTAGACTAATGGGCCTTTGTAAGAAGCCACGTGGGGCTGGGAGAGCAGAAGCACAGGCAGAGCTAACCAACACAGGAAAGGAACCTGGGTTCTGAGAGCAAAACTGACTAAGCACAAGGATTGTGAGTTTGTAAGTGTGTTGATGAACTTTTTCCCCATCTCCAATTACAGACCCCAGAGTCATAATCCATAATAGGATAAAACACAATCCATAATAGGATAATACTTTTTTTCTCCCCTAGAGCTCTCTTATGGAAGCCTGAAGCCTTTTTTTCTGGGCTAGGAAAGCCTGTTTACTTTTGTTGGTTTTGAATGTTTATTTTGTCTTTATAAACATTACAATTATCTACCACTCATACCCAGTGAAGGTAAACTTAAATACAGTTATGGGAGGAAGAAACTGAGCACAGAAACATCCTAAGATGAAGAGGTGTTCTACCAGAAATGGTTTTCTAGCTGGGGGTATAAAGAAGCCCGACAGATAGGCAGGCAGACAAGCTAAGTTGCTGGGGTTACAATAATAAGAAAACAAGATGGTCCCTACTCTCAAGGAATTTGTGTTCTAATAGGAGAAGACAAAATATAAAGAGACTCTGGAAAACTAAAGATTTAGGGAAGAAGAGAAGGCAAGGCAGCTGGTGGGGAGGTACAGCAGAACAGACAGTGAACTAGAAGTAAAGTGAACAGGGCAGCTGGAAAATCTTCAAGATATAGGGTTCTAGGTATACAGAGAATCCTTTGATATTGCTTCCCAAAGTCGAAAAGGAACATTTATTTCTACAGGGAAATGTACAATGAGTCAGTAGAAATATGGTCAGGGACAAGTAAGAGCGGCTAAATAACCTTGATCACTCATCCACAAGGAGCACCACAATCTCCAAAGAATCAAAATGGCAGGGAATGGAAGTCAATAGAAAATCTATGATGGGTACAAAATAATACTAACTAGCTGATAATTTGTTGTTGTTCAGTTGTTTTAGTCATGTCTCCATTTGGAATTTTCTTGGCAAACATACTAGACTGGTTTGCCATTTTCTTCTCTAGCTTGTTTTATAGACGAGAAAACTGAAGCAAACAGAGTTAAATGACTTATCCAGGATCACACAGCTATTAAATGTCTGAGGCCTGATTTGAACTCAGGTCTTCTTGATACCAGGCCCAGCACTCTATGAACTGCACCACCTAGCTGTCCCTAGCCAATAATAGCTGACATGTATATAAAACTTAAAGGTTTGCAAATCACTTTACTAAAAGTATCTCAATTTATCTTCACAACAACTTGGAGGTAGTTGCTATTATTATCCCCATTTTATACATGAGGAAACTGAGGCTGAAAGAGTCTAAGTAACTTGCCTAGTGTCACACAGCTAGTTTATGAGGGTGGATTTGAACTCAGGTCTTTCTAATTCCTAGTCCAGTGTCCTATCCACTATACTACCTAAAGCTGCAGAATAGTACCAACAATGATGAATTCGAGAAGCTGTGTAACAGGTATCACGCAAGAAATTTATGACCAGAAAATGAAGTCTATTGGTCATATAGCAAGAGCAGGAACTATCATAAAGACACCCTGAGTACTGCACTAATAGCCATGGAATGTTGCAGGACCCAGGGGAAGAATTCCAGCACATTGAGTGTAACCTGTACAGAAGATTTATGGGAGGATATGAAACAGAATGTGCTATGGATGACTTGTGTTTTCCTTCTTTGGAGGAAGGACCCACAATGATGAGATCAAGACGACACTGAAGTATTATCTATTTTTTATTTATTTTATTTCCAATTCATAGAACAAAATCAGCGTTTCTATAACAGTCCAATAAAAGAGATGACTGCACATGAAACTGCAAATCTACATTGTACAATTTGCTATTCCCTCCAAATATACAACAAAGTTATCTTGTAAATTTCTTTTTTTTTTTCCCTCCTCCCCCCATCCTAGAGATGGCTACCATTAGAAACAAATAGGCATATATATATATATATATATATATATATATATATATACACACACACACACACACACATATGCATATATGTATGTATTATATATGCACACACATATATATGCAAAATCATTCTATATATACTTTTACTTATAAGTTTTTTCTCTGGGTACAGATAGTGTCTTTCTTCCCAAGTCCATTATTTTTAATTTGTGTACTGATAGTAGTCAAAATGACTTAGTTGCTCAAAGTTATTCTTAAAACAATGTTGCTGTTACTGTATACAATGTTCTTTTGGTTCTGCTCCCTTTGCTCGTCATCATTTTGTGCAAGTCCTTCCATGCCTTTCTAAGATCATCGAGCTCATCATTTCTTCTAGCACAGTAGTATTCCATCACAACCATACACCACGACTTGTTCAGCCGTTCCTCAATGGTTGGGGATGCCTGCAATTTGCTATTCTTTGCCACCACAAAGAGAGCTGTGTTATAAACATTCCATTTACATTCAAAGTTATAATTACTATTTGTGAATTTCCCTACATCTTATTTTTACTATTTTCTTTCTCAGCCTCTATTTTTACCCTATCCCTCTTACCTTATCTTCTCTCCCCACCCTCCTATCCCCACCACTTCACCCATCCCTCCAAGAGTCCTTCCATCCCCTCTCCATACCCCCCAAACTCAATCCATACACCCTTCAAAATTTCCCCAGTCCTCTCCCCCAACTCTCCCGAATGCCAATCCACACACTCCTCTAAAAGTCCCTCCCCCCACCCTGTCACCCAGTTTTCTCACCTCTCTAAACGTTAAGAAGTATTCTATACCCTTCCGGCTGTACACATTGTTTCCTCTTCAACCCAGACGAGAGTAAGGTTTCAACATTACCAGTCAGGTTTTAACATTCCACCCCCCACCTGCTTCCTCTGTATTAGCTCTTTCTTTCATGCCCCATTTTTATAATATAATTGCTCCCTTTTGCCTTTTCTTATGCAATTTTGTTTTTTAGAATCACTCCATCATACACAACTCAGCCCCAACCTTTCTTTCAAACTACCTTAGTAATGATGACAGTTTAAGAATACTGATAACATTTTCATATATATAATAACTAAACAGTTTGACTTTAATGAGTGCCTTATAATTAGTCTTTAATGTTTTCCTTATATTTCTTCTGGATCTTTTATATCAAATTTTCCATTGAGTTCTGGTCTTTTTATTACAAATACCTGAAAGTCTTTCAGTTGTCAAATATTCATTTTTTTTTTCATTCAGGATTATATTCAACCTTGCTGGATAAGTTGTTCTTAGATGCAAACTCAGCTCTTTTGCTCTTTGAGATGTAATGTTCCAAGACCTACAGTCTTTTAGAGTAAAAACTGCTAGGTCTTGTGAAATCCTGACTGTATTTCCACAGTATTAAAAAAAATTTTTGTTCTTGTCACTTGCAATATTTTCTCCTTAACCTGGGAGTTTTCAAATTTGGCTATGACTTTCCTGTAAGTTTTCCTTCTGGAATCTATCAGGTGTTGAACAGTATATTTTATCTATTTCTACTTTACCTTCTTGTTCTAGAACTTCAGGTGAATTTTCTTAATACTTTCACATAACATTGCATCTAGATTCTTTTTTTTTATCATAAATTTCAATAGTCTGACAATTCTTATATTGTCTCTCCTCGATCTGTTCTTCAGATCAGTTGTTTTTCTAATGAGGTATTTCAGACTCTCTTCTATTTTCTCTAGCTCTTCTTCTTTTTTTTTTATTTCTTGGTGTCTTATAATGTTATTCAATTCTTCTTGCCCAATTCTAGTTTTCAAGAAATTATTTTCTTCCTTAAGATTTTGGACCTCTTTTTCCAGTTGGCTAACTTTCTTTTCATAATTTTCTTGGATTGCTTTCATTTTTTTCCTAATTTTTCCTTGAGCTCTCTTTTTTGATTTTTGAATTCCCTTTTAAATTCTTCCAAGAACTCTTTTTGAGCTTGTGACCATTTGATGTTACTCTTTGAGGTAAGAGTGACTTTTTTTTTACCTCATTATCTTCCTCTGAATATGAACCTAGATCTTCTTTTACACCAAAGTAGTTATCTATGGTCGGGTTCTTTTTCCTTTACCTACTCATTTTCATTTTGTTTTATTTTATTTTTAGCAGCTTATTATTATAATCAAGTTTCAATCCTGAGTTGTGGGTAATGTTGCCCTAGGCCTCAAGTCCTCCTTACTCTTATTTTCTGAAATCTATCCCCAGTGCTCAACTGTACTCATTGGACATCACTCCTCCCTGCCCATAGCCACAGCTAGGGATCACATCTGGTCAGCAGCATTAGGGTTGGCTTCCAGAAACAGCAAGGGGTCCTTCAATCCTCCTGCAATCCACTGTCTGCTCTTCTTTAGATGAAGTCTGTGAGGTGAAAGTTCCTGAGGCTTTGAAGTAATTTCTTGAACCCTTGAGTGAGGTGAAAGTTGAGGTGAAATTTCTTGAGGCCTAAATCTGCTTCCTGACAGAGCTGCCCCAAGGCCCACTGTTTGTTGATTCAATGTGGGCCTCTAGGTGTCTACATTTCCCTCAGGCTAAACCTCAGCCCCTAGAGGACCTGTCTTTTCTGAGGTCCTCTCAAGTCATCTTAGGAAGACAACTGCTCTACCCCATTATTTTTGCTGCTCTATATTCACTTTGTGAAGATTTTCTGTTTGTGGAGGAAAACTGGAAAGCCTGGAAATGTCTGACCTACTTCACCATCTTCCCAGAATCTCGTTATAGAGGTATTATCTATTGATGGTTATAAAATATTCCAAATCCATTGCCCCATTTAACCTTCACAACACTCTTGTGAAGCCAGTAGTACAAAAATTATTACCTCCATTTTACGAATGAGAAAACTGACACTCAAGGCAAATGATTTGCCTGAAGCCAAACAGATAATAAGTGAGTGGGTCAAAATTAGAGCTCAAGCCTTCTGACTCAAAGTTTGGTGCTTTTCCATTGGACTAGCTGCTTTGTCTATAATGCTTATTGTGAAATGCCTATAGATTTCCACCTTCTTGGTTAAATGCAATGTAGCCCCAATATACTACATAGGACCCATGTTTATATCATCTTGTGGGAAGGGCTTCTGATTACAATTAGAGAATATTATGAAATCTGTTCTATGTGAACTTAGGGAAACTGTCCACAGTGTCATCACAGGGATCAGTCTTGGAAAAGGAGGTTGAGAAACTATATGTGCTGCAACCTCAGCAATCATATTGCAAAGAAAGATGGAAAGTTTTGTAAAAAATCCCCCAAGCAAAAGCAAAACAAAAAGAAACCTTTTCTTCCCCACCCTCAGTGTTATCTAAAGAATCTGGTGAAGAGAACAGACTCTTCAGCCAACTTCCATTTTATTATATGGCCTTGGATAAATTATCTCCCCTCTCTAGTCTTGGTTTCTCCATCAATAAAATGGGATCAATGGTAGTCTGTGACATTGATGGAGACTGCATTTGTTAGTGTGCTGAGGTCTTAAGAAGCCCACGGTTCCCTAGTCTTAGGTTCATCTTCTTGGAATTTATTCATAGAAGAACTGGAAAAAGTAAGCTAGTCAGTAACCAAAATTGTCTTTAACAATTGAAATGAATGTTCAGAAGTGAAGAGATTCATTAACTTCATCAGAACACACTTGGGGATGTTGATAAAATAACTTAAATCAATAGAGGGCCCTGAGTTTCCAGTCTACTGTCCATCTGATTTCTATCTAACCCCTCTTGTTTTGGCTACATGACCAGCTGATCTTATTTTCCAATCACACATTTCCTGGTTGATCTTTTACTTCTTCAGCTACACATCCCACTTGTCTATGCATTTTTCCATGTTTTATATTTCTCTTGCTATGAAGGGCCAAGTGGGGTCAGAATTACATTGCTCCTGCTCTCTGTTAATATTCCATGTGTCTTCCTCTTCCTTTCAGCAGAAGGCAGCCACGCTTCTTGAAACATCTGCTTATGACAAACTCATTTAAGGAACCAGGCAAGAGTATCACTTCATTTCTCCAGACCTCAGTTTCCTCATCTATAAAACAAGGGGGTAGACTGGATGAGCTGAGGTTCCTTCCAGTGCTTAATCCTTTTATCCTATGATTTCTGCCTCCCTCTGCCTTTCCACTCCAGCAATGAAATGATGGCAGACTTTCCCATGAGGATGGTTACCCTCCGTATGACAAGAAGCCCAGCAACTTTTCTAGCCAGGTAAAAGCAGATTCTGGACATGGATATTCTCCTCACCAACTCTTCAGAAATAAACCACGATATCTAGGTTCTACTGCTAAAGTAAAGTCTTCACACCCAGAAATTAAGTCAAGTAGCATCTCCTCAATGCTGGGCCAAGATATATTTCAGAAACATGGCTTATAGAATGACTTTTTCTTCGTTAAATTAACTGATGGGGGCAAGAGATTTAGAAGATTTAGAAGAACTGGATTTAGAAGAACTGGAAGCTGCTCCCCCATTGAGAAGTCCATGAAAGCTGGGGGGCCAAGAAATCATCATTTTCCAGTGGAGACTTCAGGCTACTGTGGGTTGCAGCATCCCACTCCCCCTATCTTCACTATGCACTCTCATTTAGATGCCTTGCCATCTCTTACTCCTACCCATTCAATGAGAAAAGTAGGAGGACTGGTCTTCTCCTCCCTGAGCAGTGCCAGCTCTGGGTCATCAATGGACCTGCCTTCCTTCTTCTCATTCTTTGAAATCCACTATCATTTCTAATTGCTTCTATTGACTAGGGTTCCTAGGACCCATTCCCACCTTACTTAGTGACTGCAGAACCTGACATACATTCTTCTTCTTCCCTTCGGACAAAGGCATCCCCTTCAGAGACTTTGATATCCTATCAGTAAGCCTTTGCATACGCTAGCCTCATGTTTCCTCAGCCTTCATAATTGTAAAGACCTCCTCTCCTTCGAATCGATCATGCGTTTCTCCTCACCTTTGTGTTGTTAGACTTCATCAAGGTAGCACTGGAAAAGTAAATGAACCTAGAAGTTGAAAAGGACTTGAATTAAGCACCTACCTCTGCCACTTACTACCTCTGCAATCATAGGCAAGTCTCTTTGCACCTCTATTTCCTTGTCTGTAAAATGGGGGATAAGAATAAATGTAGTTCCTACTTCACTGGGTTGTGGGAGGATAAAATGAGGTTAATTTATGCATAATGTAATAATCACCGGGAAGCCCTTGATCTACTAGACTGGGGTAACTCCCATGGAGCTGGGTATGTATGCTGTCAACCCTGGCTAAAGGACTTGCATGACCAGAAGTTTGTGGTTAGTTGTGCCCCTTTGATTGCGGGCTGTACCTAGAGGATTGGCTGCTGAGCCAAGAAGAGCCACCCTCTCTGTGGACTATTAGGAATGAGGAAAGACTGCTTTCGATAAAGTTGTTGCGAGGCTCAAATATGATAGTATATGCCAGTGCCTGGCATCTAGAAATGCTTATTCCCTTTCTCTTCCTTTCTGGCCTCTTTTGAGGTAACCTCTTTGTCAGGACATAGCCAATACTAGCTCTCCCTTGGACTTCCAGTAAGGAGAGGGGATTTCTTTCCCTCTCCACCCCTCCAACCCTAACAATAGTAATGGGATCTACAAAGCAGCAAGAGTCTACATGCATGCCTAGCTCCATGGGAACTCCATGATGGGAGTTCATCAGATCAAGGAATTCTCCTGATCACGCCTGCTGCAAATGGAAAATATTTTACAAACTATAAAGTGCTATGTAAATCAGATATGTTATCTCAAGCTTGAGGTTCCCCCCTTTTATCTCTATCCACTAAAAAGCTTTATACCCTAATCAGAACTTAGTTCAGGCAAGCAGGCTACAATTGCCACCCCTGCCCAACTTCATTCATTCAACAAGTATTTATTAAGTACATACTATGTGCCAGGCTGTTAGCTGTAAGAAATTACAAAGATAAGACAGCCCTTTTTGTATTTTCTCAGATTTGGACTCTCTAGTCAATAACTTCAATAAAATCCTTACTACCACCATAGACTACCTCTCCCCTTTAAGCTTTTGCCATGTTTTTTAGACCAACCTGATCCTAGAACACCCCTTCCTATCCTCTGCTTTCTTAATTCTGTTTGAAGTACAGATTGTATAAAGCATAAACTGATCAAAATCAATCAGTCAAACAATAAACATTCAGTCAATAGCCTATGAGAGATTCTGAGAAGACACATACCCTGTCTTCAAAGTACTTTCAGTCTAATGTGGGAAGACAGGGTACACCATAAAAAGTTAAATAGTTCTCAGGTTGCAGAGACTAAAAAGTTAAATAATTCTCAGGTTGTAGAGACAATCAGTCCATTGGGACTTTGGAGAAGAGTAAGGTCAGTGTGGGTTGAAAAGGTCAGGAGAAACCACAGAGGAAGTAAAACTTTCAACTGGACCTGGAAATGGAGGTGGGCTTGGAATAAACCAAAAAGGGGTGACAGGCATGGGAAACTGGAGCAGGGGTGAGCACGCTCTGTTAGGGACAATAACATGATAGTCTGACTGAAGCAAGAGGTTCACAAAGGGAAACAGTGAGAAATGCAAAAGAAAAAGAATGCTGAGACCAATTCATATGAGGCCTTCAGAGATAACCTAAGGAGTTTGGGCTCTATTTTTTTTTTAGGCAAGCCAGCCTAGCTGAAGTAGCAGAGCACCATAAGGGAGAGACAGGAGGCAATATGTGCTAGAAAAATCAAACCACCACCACCATCACCACCTTCACTACCATCTCATCTCAAACTCAATTGAGACAACTCAGGATTCTGAACCCAAGAGCCTTTGAAATAGTAGTGCCCCCCCAACCACTGAACCAGCTTCCAGACCAGCCCCTATGATCAACTGCTACCAATAGGAAGATAGACACAGGAGTCCTGGAAGTGGAGATGCCCCCCAAGCCACCAGTCCTGCTTCTGGCCCAGCCCTTAAAGTCACCCTCTGGGAAAGCAACTCCTTTGCAGAAGAGGCCGGACAGCCACCTGAATTGCCACACATAGGGAAAGGTGACCTAGGCTAACTGAGGCAGCAGGGTACCCTGGGAGAGATATAGGAGGCAGCAAGTCAAACCACTACCACAACCTTGACCATCATCTCCCTTCAGACCCCAGTGGAAACAACCCAGGAGCCCAAGAGCAATGCTTCCAGCCCAGTGCCCTCAGCCATCATTCTGAAAAGCAGATCCTGTGGAGGTGCAGCCAGGCAACGGCTCTGCTGGCTGCTACATCCACAGCTATTAAAGACCGAGGCGAGAAAATTATGGGTACCAAAGTCCTTGGTATTGTCAAATGGCTCAACATTAGAAACAGATATTATTTTATTACCTGCTCTCCCACTGCCCCTTAAGGACCTTTCCATCTGATACAGGTAAAACCTTCCATATGTACTGTCTCACCCACTAGAATATGAGCTCCTGGAATTGATGAACTCAATACAGATTGAAGTATATTTTTAAATTTTATTTTCTTTATGTTTATTATTTTATTTTGTGTTTTCTTTAATGACATCGCTAATATGGACATATGTTTTATATGACTTCATATGTATAGTCAATATCAAATTGCTTGCCTTCTCAAGAAGGAGTGTAAGGAGAGAGAGAATTCAGAACTCAAATTTTTTTAAATGATTGTTAAAAGTTTTTTACATGTAATTAGTAAATATTTAATGAAATAAAATAATTTTAAATGGATTGTGAGTTCCTTGAAAGCAGTGCTTTGCACATTGTAAGGGCTTAATAAATGATTTTTTTCATTCATTCATTAGCCAGTAGACACTCACCATTATATAAATGACTACCAAATTTTCTGTCTGACACTTCTTCTGAGCTCTAACTGTACCTCCAGCTGGCAAAAGAACATCATTAACTGGATGTTCCACCAGCACCTCAAATTCTGCCCAAAATGAAGCTCATTATCTTTCCCCAATAAACCTACTCCTCTCCCTGATTTCACTATTACCGTCAATAATGTCATGATTCACCTTATCTCCTATGCTTGAAACTTTGCTGTCTTTGACCCTTAACTCTGCTATACCTCTTATGCCCAAATTGTCACTAGTTTATATGGATTCTATCTCTACAACAGCTCTCACAATCATCTCTTTCTTTCTGTCCCCCTACCACCATAGCCATTATGCAGGCTCCTATTACTTATTACCTTCCTAGATCTTTGCCAACAGCTTACTAAAAGATCTTCCTATAGCCATTCTCTCTTCCTTCTTAATCTTTTTTGTGTGTGTGTGTCATGGACCCCTTTAGAGGTCTGGTAAAGCCTCTGGTATCCTTCTCAGAATAATAGTCTTAAATGTATAAAATAAAATACATACGATTATAATGAAAACCAATTTTATTGAAATACAGTTTTCATAATATTTTAAAAATAAGTTCACAGACCCCAAATTAAGAAGCTAAAGTAATCTTCCTTATACATAGTCACATTGTTCCTCTGCTCAGAAATTGTCCCTGGCTCCCTATTACCTACCCAACAAAGTTCCAAATCCTTTGCCCTTGGCCCTCTACAATCTGGGACCACCCTAACTTTCTAACCATATTCCATATTATTCTACTCCAAGTACTCTATACTCCAAGTACTCTATATTGGACTATTTTCTATCCCTTGCCTTCTCTCTCTGCCCTTCCCCTGCCATGCACTATGCTTTTCCACTTTTATACCTTCAGTCATGCCATTTTCTATATGTGAAATGTCCTCTCTCCTCTCTACCTTTTTAACTATCTCTCATGGTCTAACTCCAATACTACTCCTCCCAGTATGCTTTCACTGATCCTGCAAATCCATAATGATCTTTTCTTTCATTTTTCACATAGAACTTTGTTCTCTACCTTTCTAACACACTTGTCATGTAATGTAATTGTCAGCATTTGTGTCTTACCACTCTTCCCCCATGAGACTGTGCTGTTGTTTGTCCTTTGTTTTGGAAGAAGACTAATGATATCACAGGGTAATGCCTTGACCTGAATCTTAATTGGATTTAAACGAGGCAGAGTTGCACTAAGTCCATAGCCTCACTCTCTTCCATAGTCATCAAAATCCAATGGCAAGACTGGATAGTCAAGAAGACTAGAGTTGGCCTGGGATTTAGTAGATGACCTTGGCATCTTCAATGTCCGAACAAGCTCTCCACAGCACCTGCTTCAGCCAACTTCGCGGCCATTGGAACAAATTGTTCTTATCTACCCATTCTGCTGGAGAGGAAATCTTCACGTGCTTGGGGTAGACATCCCCCTAACTCACTGATGGGTTCAAGGCCTGTCGATGAAACTACAAACTTTGTGAAAATAAGGACTATGTCTTATCCAAATTTTGTTATCTTTATAACCTAGCTCAGGATTCCATTCTGTATACAAGGTGTTTAATGTACCTGTTGAATTGAATTGAATTATCAAAGTAATGTTTTAGGAAAATTAATTTGAAGAGATGGAAGTACATAATGGATTGGGAATATAGAAAATTCAGAGTCTGGAGTCCTCTAGGAAACCAATTATTATTATTAATCCAAGCATGAGATGATGAAGGTGATCCACATTTAAATGGAAAAGGAGACTTTAAGAAAATCAGGGGGCTTGGTAACTTGGGGCCAAGGACTAGGGAAATTATCAGTGACTCAAAAGTTTCAAGCTAAGATGATGATGCTATTGGTAGAAATAGGGAAATGATTGGGAGAAGGGGAAAGTGGTTTGGGTGACAAAGATAATAAGTTTTCTTTCAGATGTGCTAAAGTCACAGCAGAAGTCAGATGGAAATGTCTATCAGTGGAAGAATGGAGGCTACTGCTTTCTTTATACAAAGTGCAAAATAATCCCACTAACTCCTTATTTAATGGACAAGAGGGAAATGTGCCTTCTAAGAATTTTCAAGATAACTGGAACTTACCCTTTGAGAGGGCTAAACTTTTCCAAACTTTTTTTTTATTAAATCTTTTATAAGATTGTAGAAACTGGAGTTGGAAGAGACCTTAGAGATCATTTATATGTGCCCATTCCTTCTTCCCAGGGACATTTTATCATAGTCCTCCTTACCTGTCAGATGATTATCACTGGTCACAACACCTGTTTTGAGGCCTGCATCTTTCTGCCTTTCTTCTGATTGACTTCTAATAATCTATTATGATTTGATAAATCAGAAAACTGGAGTTGTCAGAATTATGTGTAAATTAGAATTGTAAATGCTGAATGTCAGCCTGAGGTATAAAGGTAAGAGTTTTAGTAGAGGGTTTTGTGACTACCCTTTTTTTAGCTCAACTATTTTTTACTTGCTTCCTGATTCTTTGCTAACTGAGGCTGATAATATATCTAACTTTAGGATGTCTGAGCATGTACCCTCAGAATGGACAGCTGGGAAGGGGAAGAGAACTGGTCAGAGTGAAGGATAAGACGAGGCTAGGAAAGGTTTCTCCCCCTCCCCCAGTGCAAGGAAAAAACAAGCTCTTCTCAAAAAAAAAAAGGGGAGACTATGAGTCGTTGGAGAAGAGAACTTGAAACATTAAGGACGAACAGGGTGGAAAGTAAGCCCCTTAGAAAGAGGAGGGAAAA